ACAGCTGTCCCTCCATCCATCTCCGAGGGAGGCCATGCTTCCTTGCTACACTGTCCCTAGCTGTCTCTGGTAAAAGCAAGCGGCAGGAACACCAGCTGTGAACACTGATGTGCTGCCAATGTTTCAGCAAGGGTACCCCACACTTTAGCTCGTAATAAACCTTGTGTGCAAGGGGTTCATGTGATTGCAGACAGGAGGGGTGTGGGACAAAAGCATCTATTCATTTGGCCTCCCATTTAAACATAAATGCTCTTTAGTAGCCATAACCAAGGAGGAAGGCACCACCAGTTCGCAAACAACTTTAAGGGTCATATCATGCCTAATTTTTGTGCAGCTGCTCATGGGAATGGGAGCAACAAACATTCATCCCTTCCCTGAATTACAATCCCTGAGTTCTCCTAACTCATCCTGTTGAAAAAGTGACAGAAATTGCCTCCCATGTGGTGGATCTGGGATATGTGCCACCAATCCTGCAGATGTCCTAAAACCTGGAGTGAAATTCTGCATATCTCCCAGGGCATTCCTGGAGGTTAGGCCATTTCTACAGAGTCCAAGGCCCTACTCCAGCAAAGTACTTAAACGCAAGCTTAACTTTCAGCATGAAGTGCCACTGACTTCAAACATGTATTTCATTGCTTTTCTAGCTTAGGGACAAAGTGCCTTGGTGCTACTTCTTTAAAACCTCCCACCTTTCACAGCAGCACAGCTCCCTCAGCAACAAGAAAACTTTTAAAAACAATAGTATTATAGAATTGTTTGCCTGACAAATTTCCTCAGGGCAATTAAAAAAGGTTCTAAAATGTTTAACATGGGTGTAACAGGGCGGTTACTTTGCTCCTGGGATAGAATGAGTGAGAGCAGCTGAGGGAGGCTGGCACAGCTGACCCTGATAAGAGGGCTGTGAGCAGGGAGCTGAGAGTCTCACTCTAGCCCTGTAGACAGAAGGACCTAGCTGCCTGGGAGAGATAGGGGTACCTTTGACAGGGCAGTTCTGGGGAAGGGGCAGGCTGAGCCAGGGGGCTGAGGCCTGGCAGGAAGGCCTAAGGAGGTACTGGGGCTGCAGGAAAACAGCTGGGGCTTGGTAAGGCAGTAGGTCCAACCCCCTTGTCAATGATGAGTGGCCATTACGGACTGCAGTTTGCCCCAGAGAAAGGGGGCTAAATGATGACTGGCAGTAGCCACTGAGGCAAGGTGGGCATAAGGGGAGGGGTTCCCCAGGAGGGAAGACCCAGAGTGTGGGGGTGCTGCTGTAGGGCAGCACCCCAAGAAAAGTGGGCCTGAAGTGCCTGAAGTACAGTGGTGGAGACTGATGAGGAAGCAGGTACCTGTAGGGAGACTTTCAGGTTCAATCAACATTGCCACTTAGCAGTGACCCCTGCTGGTTAGCTGCGCAACAATTGCAGAAGAGAGAGACAAGGTAAGGTTGGTAACATCTTTTATTGGACCAACTTCTGTTGGTGAGAGAAGGTATGTCTACACTGTCCACGTTACAGTGTGGCCATGGCAGCGCTGTGATGTGGGCAATGTAGTCATGCTTTATTGCCAGGGGAGAGCTTTCCAACCATTTAAAAAAAAAAAAAAAAAACCGCAACAAACCCTGAATGAGCAATGGTAGCTTTACAGCTGGGAGTGCAGCTCCTGGGGATAAAGCACTGTCTGTACTGGCCCTTTTCAGTGCTAAAACTTTTGTTGCTCAGGTGGGTGTTTTTTCACACCTGTGAATGACTAAACTTTTTGCACTGAAAGTGGCAGTGTAGATACAGCCAACATGCTTTTGAGCTACACAGAGCTCTTCTTCAAGTCTGGGAAATGTAGTCAGTGTCACAACTAAATACAAGGCGGAACAGATTGTTTAGCATAAGTAGCCAACACATATTTCAAGGGACCATTTGTGGCTAGTTAACACCTCTCCAATCATGGGGGCGCGGGGAAGGAGTGTCATAATAAGCCATAAATCCGGTGTGTCTCTTCAGTCCATGATTTTTAGTGTCTAGCAAAGTTATGAATTTAAGCTCCCAGGCTTGTCTTTTGTGCAGGTTTCCTTTGAGAATGAGGACTGAGAAGTCAGTTATAGAGTGATCCCTTTGTGAAAAGTGTTCACCTACAGGTGATATGGTGCTTTTGTCTTTTATCATTTTTCTGTGTGAGTTCATTCGAGAGCATAGTGATTGTCTCATTTCACAAAAATAGTTGTTGTTGGAATATTTAGTGCTCTAGATGAGGTACATCATACACTGTAATAGGCATGTATAGGACCCATAGATCTTGAAAGGTGTGTTTTGGGGATATGTCTACAGCTTATGCATTTGTTCTTCTGGCAGTGGCTGGCGTGCCCTGGTCTGTGGGGACCTTGCTCCTGATAATGAGCTTGGAGAGACAGGGGAGTTGTTTGAAGGCCAGAAGAGAAGATTCAGAAAAGATTTCTTTCAGCATGAGGTCTCCGTTGAATATGGGTTGTAATTGTTTAATGACACTCGGTATGTGTTCCAGTGTGTGGTGGTAGGTGACTACTAGCGGTGTGCGGTTCGAGGGGGTTTTATTTCTGTATTGAAGCATGTTCTCTTGGGTATGTGGATGGCCTATTCCATGCTGCGTCCCAAGAAGCTAAAAAGTTTGTCCCCCTCAACAGAAGTTGGTCCAATAAAAGATATGCCCTCACCCACCTTGTCTCTCTAATAACCTAGGACCAACACAGCTACAACAACATTGCATATTTCAGAAAATAATTAACAAAGCTGCTGTGGTTTTAGGCATACCACAGAAGCATTTTAAAATGCATCTAAATACTAAGTAATATGCATTATACCATATAAAAATGTTAGTCTAGTGAATATGTAGGACATTGTAAACATTCTCTGTATATGTATCTAAGTTGCCATATTTGCTAAGCAATCTTAATAGAATGCATTTTAAATCCTTTCTAAATTGATTCCTGTCATTTCAAACCTCACTTACTACTTTTCCCTTGTTACAGTAGTGTAACACAATGAAAAGTCATGGTAAAATAATATTGGAAGCAAGGAATTGGAGAAATTGGAAACGGTTGACAGATATTGCAGGAAATTGCCATATCTTTGAGAGATCTGTATTAAGTGTCTGTAGCATTGTGGGCCAGGGATTGTATGTATTTCCATAGGGAAGGGGCACTACGTCCGTCCAGGAACTAAGAAGAGTGGAGGGTGGTTAGGCAAATTCACTCAGGTTGTAACACCTCCAGAGAGCTAGCACCTGGAGAGGCTCATATATAGTGGTTCAGACTGGATTCTCCAGAGACTAAGGGCATAGCTACACTTGCAGATGTAGAGCACTGTGAGTTAAACCAGCCCTTGGAGAGAGCAGTAGGGAAAGCGCTGCAGTGTGTCTACACTGACAGCTGCAAGCGCACGGGCATGGCCACATTTGCAGCAGCATTGGGAGCGGTGCATTATGGGCAGCTATCCCACAGAGCACCTCTTCCCATTCTGGCGCTGTGGCTTGTGGGAAGGGGTGGGGGATGCGGGGCATTCTGGGTCCTGTCCCAACGCCCTGTGATGCATCGTTTTGCATTCCAGCAATCCCTGTGCTTCCGTCCACGTTTGGCGCCACCTTTCAACCATTTTTGTACTGCGTGCTCTGTCTTCCCTTTCGTTCTGCGGGAATGGATCCCAAAGTGCTGAGGAATATGCTGATGGGTCTCACCAGCATGTCATGTTTGGCAGTCAAGTTACTCTTTAAGCGACAAACTGACAGTGAGGAGTCTATGTTAACTTGTGTAACGCATATGACGCAAGATTGCTTGTGGCATTCACGGACATGCTTACCACCGTGGAACACCACTTCTGAGCTCGGGGAAACAAGCACTGAGTGGTAGGATCACATCATCTGGCAAATCTGGGATGACAAGCAGTGACTGCAGAATTTTCAGATGAGAAAAAGCCACTTTCATGAGACTGGGTGATGAGCTTGCCCCCACCCTGTGGCACAAGAACATGCGGTTGAGAGCTGCCCTGCCGGGGGAGAAGCAGGTGGCTATTGCAATCTGGAAGCTGGCAACTCCAGACAGCTACTGATCAGTCGCTAACCAGGTTGGAGTGGGAAAGTCAACCATTGGAATCGTGTTGATTCAAGTTTGCAGAGCCATTAATCACATCCTGCTCAGAAGAACCGTGACTCTGGATAACGTGCATGACGTGGCTGGCTTTGCACAAATGGATTTCCCTAACTGCGGAGGGGCGATAGATGGGATGCATATTCCAATTCTGGCACCAGCCCACCTAGTCTCAGAGTACGTTAATCGGAAATGGTATTTCTCTATGGTTCTCCAGGCACTCATGGATCACCATGGGTGTTTATTGACACTAACGCAGGCTGGCCCAGAAAGGTGCATGACGCACGCATCTTTCGGAACACTGGCCTGTTCAGGAAGCTGCAAGTTGGGACTCTTTTCCCAGACCAGAAGATCACTGTAGGGGAAGTCAAAATGCCAACTGTGATTTTTGGAGACCTCGCTTACCTTTTCATGCTGTGGCTCATGAAACCCTACGCAGGGAGCCTTAACAGCAGCAAGGAGCAGTTCAACAACCGGCTGAGTTGGCGCAGAATGACTGCGTGGAGTGTGCTTTTGGCCATTTAAAGGGCCACTAGTGTTCTCTGTGTGGGAAGCTGGACCTGGCCAATGACAACATCCCCGCAGTTATATCCGTGTGCTGTACCCTCCATAACCTTTGTGATGGGAAGAGTGAAAGATTCACTCAGGCATGGAACTCGGAGGCTCAACACCTGGAGGCTGAATTTGAACAGCCAGAGAGCAGGGCTATTGGAGGGGCCCAGCACAGGGCTGCAAGAATTAGGGATGCCTTGACGGAGCAATCTGAGGCTGAAAGCCACCAGTAATGTTTGGTGCCCTGCACGGGAGTAGGAATCTGTTTGCTACACTGACTTGCAGTGCCTGTTGCTTTCCTGGGCTAAAATATCTTTTAATTAATACAATAATAAAGAATGTTTTCAAAGCCAAAAAAGCCATTTATTGAAAAGAAACCCAACTGTTTGGGACGAATGGCTCAATCACAGATTTGAGTATGTCCTGTTTTCATACTCCCCTTCCTGTCTGGAGTGCTGCACTTCAGGATGGCTATACTGCATGGTGATGGGGGTTGAGTGCAGTGGATAAGGGTTGTTTGCAGGGCTGGGTGGTGAAGCTACAGGTGTTGGAAGCAGCTGGTGGTGATAAGAACCCAGATGTTAGGTAAAGTGGGTTGGAAGTGACATGGGGGCACAAGGAAAAGAGTTTTGGGACAAGGGCTGCGGGAGAGGGGACAGATGGTAGTGCTCCGCCTGCATGACTACGAGCACCTGGAATGAGTCTGCTTGGGCATTCCATAATGCTCATCAGCCACTTTTGGTGCCGGCACTCCACATTCTGCTGGCGGAACCTCCTTTTGCTCTCCCTCCACTCTTGCACTTTTTGATTATTGTGAAGGGACTGATGCATTACTTCATGCAGCATGTCCTCTTTGCTTCTACATGGCCTCTTCCTAATTCTTTGGAGTCTTGTGGCCGGTGATAACATGGACGGCTGAGATCTCAAGGTTCCATCTGTAAAGGCAAAATGCAACACTTAACAGAGGCAGCATTGTTTACACCAGACAGAGCAATGATTCACCCATACTTAAAGACAAGCACAGCCTAAACAAGAGCAGAATTTGCCTGTCCCAAAGCGAGCGCACATAACCCACAGGAGCCCCAAATTGGTGAGTAAGCACAGAGTTGAGGGGGACTGATTGTTTCACTGCCGTACTGTCCTCTGGGGCTCTATACCTTGAGGAGAGCCAACAGCTGCAGGGGGCCCCTATACTGAACACTGTCCCCACATTTTCAACAGGAATTTGTCCTGGAAGATATCTCACTGCTGATGGTGACCTGGGAAGCAAGGGAGGGTCTTCTACTACAATGCGGCTTCCACCCTGGCCCATAGGCAGCTTGCCAGTGTGCAGCAATGGTGTTACCCCCCCCCCCCCCCCACGGCACAGTGGTGCAGAGATGTTAGCCTGACTGGGACAAGGAGCACAGTAGCACTCCCAAGGAACTTGCACAAGCGCATTGCACAGCTTCTGCATGAGACCTTTGAAGAAATCACTGAGGCGGACTACCGTGATGTGGGAGAGCACATCAACGTCCTATTCCGCATCTAGGCATGCATACAGCCCTAACCCTCCTCGCCCCAAGAGCCTGCACCGAATAACTTCCTTCCCAAAATAAAAGCCACTTACCGGGCACGTCCTCTGGTTTTTATCCTTCCCCAAGCACCGGCCACTGCGACTGGCTACCTTCCTCCTGGCTTGAGAACAGCTCCTGGCTGCATGCATCTAAGGATGCTGGGGTGTCCTCCTCCTCAGCACCCTCACTCCTGCTTTCCTCCTCCTCCTGCTGCCTTGTTGAACTGGACTCTGAAGTGTCCATGATGGTCTTCAGAGTGGAGGTGGGGTCGCCCCCAAGTATTGCATCCAGCCCTTTGTAGAAACGGCAGGTTATGGGGGTAGCACCGGAGTGGCGGTCTCCCTCACGGACTTTGTGGTAGGCACTCTGCAGCTCCTTCACTTTAACACCGCACTGAAGTGCGTCCCGGTCATGGCCCCTTTCCATCATGTCCCTTGATATCTGCCTGAAGGTATCTTAATTCCTACGGCTGGAGCAGAGCTGGGACTGGACAGCTTCCTCCCCGCAAACACTGAGGTCCAGCACCTCGCCATTGCCCCATACTGGGGATGGCCTGGCATGTGGAGGCATGGTCACCTGGAAAGATTCGCTGAGAGCTCTCTATGGCTGGCTGAGCAAACAGGAAGGGGATTATCAAAATTCCCAGAGAATTTAAAAGGTGGGTCTGATGGTTGGTCACCTGAGGGCAGGGCAGTAGAGTTCAAAGTGATGACCAGAGTGGCTAGCACAGGCATTGTGGGACACTTCTGGAGGCCGATCAGAGTACACTAACAGACCACAGCGTCCACACTGGTGCTGTGGCGCTCCAGTTAAGGTGCACCAAGCATTATGCCTCTCATGGAGGTGGATTACCAGGAGTTTTCCAGCTGCTGAGTCAGACCACTCTACGTGCCTTGCCAATATGGACGTGTCATGAGTTAGGGCAGCCAAGGCTGCTTTAATGCACTCTAACTCGCAAGCGTAGCCATGCCCTAACAGACAAAGAAAGGACTTTTGGATAAATAGCCTGAGTTTAAACTGACCCAGGTCCTTCTTTCTGATACAGCAACAGAGAACTTTCTGTCCGAGCGGGGACCCCAATCCTTAGGGAAGGGTTGAAAGGACTGACACCTGCCAGAGCATGAGATTTGGAACTGGGGTGACCTCTGGTAAGCTTTTTAGTATGTGTTTAGGTTCCTATATTTTAATTTTTCTCTGTAATGCTTTAATCTTAAGAATAAATATGCTTCCTTTGTAAAGGGATGCATGTGTGGTATCCTGTAACTGGGCAATTACATGGTCATAGCCTTTGGAGAGAATAGCCTTTTAGGGACTTTTTGCTAGGGAATAACAGTACAGGCAGGGAACTATGCAGCCTGAAAACCCCCCAGTTAGGAGCGGGAGAGGTACAAGCACGAGAGGTAACAGCTGAGAACCAGGAGCATAAGAGTGAGTGTCCTTGCTAGACCATGGCAGGGAATACAGGTGTAGCTAAGAACATAAGAATGGCCATACTGGGTCAGACAAATGGTCCATCTAGCCCAGTATCCTGTCTTCTGACAGTTGCCTATGCCAGGTGCTTCAGAGGGAATGAACAGAACAGGGCAATTACTGAGTGATCCATCCTGTCTTCCACTCCCAGTTTCTGGTAATCAGAGGTTATGGATGCCCAGAGCATGGGGTTGCATCCCTGACCATCCTGGCTAATAGCCATTGATGGACCTATCCCCCATGAACTTATCTAATTTTTTTTTTAACCCACTTATATTGTTGGTATTCACAACATCTCCTGGCAACAAGTTCCATAGGTTGATTGTCTATGTAAAGAAATACTTCCTTCCTTTTAGTTTGTTTTAAACCTACTGCCTATTAACTTCATTGGGTGACTCCTGGTTCTTGTTATGTGAAGGAATAATTAACACTTTTTCTCCATGCCATTCGTGATTTGATAGACCTCTATCATATCCCCCCTTATCTGTTTTCCAAGCTGAAAAGTCCGTCTTTTTAATCTCTCCTTTATATGGAAGCCGTTCATACCCTTAATCATTTTTGTTGCCTTTCTCTACTTTTTTCCATTTCAAAAATCTTTTTTGAGAGGGGGAGACCAAAACTACCCACAGTATTCAGGGTGTGAGAATACCATGGATTTATACAGAGGCATAGGCGCCAACTTCCCCTCTAGACTCATAAATATTAAGGTCAGAAGGGACCATTATGATCATCTAGTCTGATCTCCTGCACAATGCAGGCCACCGAATCTCACCTACCCACTCCTGCAATAAACGTCTCACCTATGTCTGAGCTATTGAAGTCCTCAAATGATGGTTGAAAGACTTCAAGGTGCAGCGAATCCTCCAGCAAGTGACCCATGCTACAGAGGAAGGTGGAAAAACCCCCAGGGTCTCTTCCAATCTGCCTTGGAGGAAATCTCCTTCCTGACCCCACATATGGCAATCCGCTGAACTCTGAGCACGTGGGCAAGATTCACCAGCCAGATACCCAGGAAAGCATTCTCTGTAGTAACTCAGATCCCACCCCTTCTAACATCCCATCACAGGCCACTGGGCCTATTTACCATGAATAGTTAAAGATCAGTTAATTGCCAAAATCATGTTATCACATCATACCATCTCCTCCATAAACTTATTGAGTTTAATCTTGAATTCAGATAGGTCTTTTGCCCCCACTGCTTCCCTTGGAAGGCTGTTCCAGAACTTCACTCCTCTGATGATTAGAAACCTTCGTCTAATTTCAAGTCTAAACTTCCCGATAGCCAGTTTATATCCATTTGTTCTTGTGTCCACACTGGTACTGAGCTTTAATTCCTCTCCCTCTCTGGTATTTATCCCTCTGATATATTTATAGAGAGCAATCATATCAGCCTTCTTGTTGGTTAGGCTAAACAATCCAAGCTCCTTGAGTCTCCTTTCATAAGACAGGTTTTCCATTCCCCGGATCATCCTAGTAGCCCTTCTCTCGCCAGGGGTGCTCAATCCCGCCCTTCAACCCTTCCCCCAAGTCCCTGTCCTGCCTCTTCCCCGCCATCTCCCCTAAGTGCACCCCATCCCTGCTTCTCGCCCTCTCTCCCAGAGCTTTCCACACTACGAAACAGCTGTTAGCAGTGCGTGGGAAGCGCTGGGACAGAGGGGGAGGAGTTGGTCAGCGAGGTTGCCGGCAGGTGAGACAGCGATGACAGGCAGTGAGAGCCAGCAAGTGAGACACCAGCAGCACCCACTAATTTTTCTCTGTGGGTGCTCCAGGACTGGTATTATGATATGTACTGTCTTATTATCTATTCATATGGTTCCTAACATTGTGTTTAGCCTTTTTGATTGCCACTGTGAATAGAGCAGATGTTTTCAGAAAGCTATCCACAATAACTCCAATTACTATATAATATTCTATAATAAAAATTGGCTGAGTGATAACAGCCAATTTATATAACAAAAACACAGAAGATTAGGGTTGGAAGAGACCTCAGGAGATCATCTTGTCCAATCCCCCATTCAAAGCGGGACCAACCCCAACTAAATCGTCCAAGCCAGGGATTTGTCAAGCTGGGCCTTAAAAACCTCTAAGGATGGAGATTCCAACTCCTCCCTACATAACCCATTCCAGTGCTTCACCACCCACCTAGTGAAATAGTTTTCCTAATATCCAATCTAGACCTTCCCGCCACTGTAACTGGAGACGAGTGCTCCTTGTTCTGCCCCATCCCTCTAATAATTTTTGTTCCCCTCCCTTAGACTCTCCAATTTGTCCACATCCTTTCTGTAGCGGGGGGCCCAAAACTGGATGCAATACTCCAAATGTGGCCTCACCAGTACCAAATAGAGGGGAATAATCACTTCCCTCAATCTGCTGGCAATGCTCCTATTAATGCAACCCAATATGCCATTAGCCTTCTTGGCAACAAGGGCACATTGTTGACTCGTATCCAGCTTCTTGTCCACTGTAATCCCCAGGTCCTTTTCTGCAGAACTGCCGCTTAGCCAATCAGTCCCCAACCTGTAGCAGAGCATGGGATTCTTCCATCCTACATGCAGGACTCTGCCCTTGTCCTTGTTGAACCTCATCAGATTTCTTTTAGCCCAATCCTCCAATTTGTCTAGGTCACTCTGGACCCTATCCCTACCCTCCAGTGTATCTACCTCTTCCCCCAAACATAGTCATCTGCAAACTTGCTGAAGGTGCAATCCATCCCATCAACCAGACCATTAATAAAGATGTTGAACAAAACTGGCCCCAGGACAGACCTCTGGGGCACTCCACTTGATACCAGCTGCCAGCTAGACATCGAGCCATTGATCACTACCCACTAGATCAATGATTTAGCCAGCTTTCTATCCACCTATCTCATCCAATCCATACTTTTGTAACTTGCTGGCAAGAATGCTGTGGGAGACCACAACAAAAGCTTTGCTAAAGTCAAGGTATATCACACCCACCGCGTTCCCCATATCCACAGAGCCAGTTATCTCCTCATAGAAGACAATCAGGTTGGTCAGACATGACTTTCCCTTGGTGAATCCATGCTGACTCTTTCTCATCACCTTTCTCTCCTTCAAGTGCTTCAAAATGGATTCCTTGCGGACCTGTTCCATGACTTTTTTTTCCAGGGACTGAGGTGAGGCTGAGCAGTATGTAGTTCCCTAGATTCTCCTTTTTCCCTTTTTTAAAGAAAGGCACTACATTTTGCCTTTTTCCAATTGTCCGGAACCTGCCCCAATTGCCACAAGTTTTCAAAGATAATGGCCAAGAGCTTTCCAAACACATCAGCCAATTCCCTCCGCATCCTCTGATGCATTGGATCTGGACCCATGGACTTGTGCATGTCCAGCTTTTCTAAATAGTCCTTAACCTGTTCTTTCACCACTGATGGCTGCTCACTTCTTCCCCATACTGTGCTGCCCAGTCTAGGAGCTGACCTTGTCTGAAGACCAAGGCAAAAAAAGCATTGAGTACTTCAGCTTTTTCTACATTTGTCACTAGGCTGCCTCCCCTATTCAGTAAGGGTTCCACACTTTCCCTGACCACCTTCTTGTTGCTAATGTACCTGCAGAAACCCTTCTTGTTACCCTTCACATCCCTTACTAACTGCAACTCCAGTTGTGCTTTGGCCTTCCTGATTACACCCCTGCATGCTCGAGCAATATTTTTATACTCCTCCCTAGTTATCTGTTCAAATTTCCTTCTTGTACGCTTCCTTTTTGTGTTTAAGCTCACCAAAGATTTCACTGTTAAGCCATGCTGGTCGCCTGCCATATTTACTATTCTTTCTGCACATGGGGATGGTTTGTTCCTGTACCCTCAATAAAGCTTCTTTAAAATACAGGGGGACTCCTTTCCCCCTCATACTAGCCCATCAGATGGGATCCTGCCCATCAGTTCCCTGAGGGAGTCAAATTCTGCTTTTCTGAAGTCCAGGGTCTGTATTCCACTGCTCTTCTTTCTTCCTTTTGTCAGGTATCCTGAACTTGACCATCTCATGGTCACTGCTGCCCAGGTTGCCACCTACTTCTACTTCCCCTACCAATTCTTCCCTGTTTGTGAGCAGCAGGTCAAGAGGAGCACGGCCCCTAGTTGGTTCCTCCAGCACTTGCACCAAGAAGTTGTCCCCAGCACTCTCCAAAAATGTCCTGGATTGTTTTGTGCACTGCTGTATTGTTCTCCCAGCAGCTGTCAGGCTGATTTGAAGTCCCCCATGAGAACCAGGGTTTGTGATCTGGAACCTTCTGTTGTCCGAAGATATCCCATCATTTTGTGTGTTTCATTGGGATTATATTTTCCAATGTGCACTACTTTACATTTATCAACATTGAATTTCATCGGTCATTTTGTTTCCCAGTCACTCAGTTTTGTGCCAGCCGGGGTCAAACTCTCAGCCTTGGCCAGCACTACAGCGGAACTCTCAGCCCTGGCTGGAGCTCTGAGCCCAGAGCCCCTCCACTGTTCTGACCCTTCCACCCGTGGCCCTGTCCATAGCCCCGTCTATGGACCCACCCCATTCTGCCCCAACTCTGCCTCTTCCCCTGAGGCCCCACCCTTCCTTGTTCCATGGCCCCAGGACCATAGTGGGGAGCAAGAGCTCCTCCAGCCCCAGGGCCATGGCAGGGGAAAACTTTTCCAGGGGCCCTAAATCCACCACTGCCCCCCCTTCCTGGCAGCAAGAGGTTAGGGGAGACTTAGCCTCCCCCAGCCTCCATTACATGCCTCCCATAATTTCACCCATATTTTTTGTGGCTTGGTGGGAATTTTGCTTGGTCACACACTACTAGTTTTTTAGAGTTAATTAAAAGAAATTAGCTACATTACTCTCTCTTTCATGTAATGATTCAACTACTAAGATCTTGATCCTACAAACACTTATGAACATACTTAAAGTCAATTGGACTGCTCATGTACTTAAAGTTATTGGAACAGGTCACATGAGTAAAGTTAAGCATGTGCTTACTGAATTGGGACCCCCATACAGCCCTTTTCTTAGTTCTGGCTTTCTCAGTTCAGAGTGTTCTAGAACATGACTTTTTCAATACTTTAAAAAAAACCCACTTATAGTACATGTCTTTAGAGCATAAGAAAAGATGGGGAGGTTTTAATTTCTCAGTGGAGCAGGTAACAGTTTAGGAGAAAAAAGCACACAGGCTTTATATATATAATTTAGTCGGTACAGGTTCTTTCTGTAGTAACTACACTGCACCCCATGCAACCATTAAAAAAATTTAATCTTTTGCACCATCATGCTTAAGTATCAGTGCGTCACATTGCACCAATTTTAATCAAACTTATTTTCCCCCCAGTAAATTGGTCCTGTGCTCCTCTGTCTGTTATGTGAACTGTACAAAATACTTTGAGATTTTAATCCCTGCAACAGAAGTAAAGAAAAACAATATTATATATATTTTATTTTTATTATTGAGGCATTTGTCACTGTTCAGGTTGCAACAATCATTCTATTCTAAGCCTTACTTTGCCTCAAACTATAACCTTTGGTAGGAATGAACTATTATTCTGATCTATTTTTTTTGTTTACAGTATTAGGAGAAAAGAAATAGCTACATTTTCCAAATGCTAGAATAAAGAAGTTGCACATGCAAAGCAACCACCACCAACCCTCCTCAGAAATTTGAAGAAAAGCTTTCCATTTTTTTTTTCCTTCAGCCCTCTCTCTCTCTCTCTCTCTCTAAAAAGGAAAACTGTCAAATTCTTCAAGCATTATTTGGCTAGATCCCCAAACTAGGTAAAAGGTAGTTTTACTGTTAGACACACTGGTGCATTTTTGCTAAGGGTATGTTTACACTGCAAACATAAGTCAACCTATATTAGGTTGACTTACAGCCACTGCAGTAGTGCATATCTACACTACCCTGCTTGGGTCAGTGCTGCGCATCCTGACCGAGAGTGTTTTCACCAACCTAAGAGGGGCACTGTGAAGAGCTGAGAGCCCTGTGTCTCAGATCTGCTGGCAGCTCCCTGCCAGGAGCCTGGCTGACCCACAGGCTCCTTCTGCTCCCCGTTCCCCACCAGGAGTGGGGGGAAGCTGCCTGGGGCTTCTCACCCCCTACCACATTCCCTGCCAGGCATAGGGGGGAAGCCACCCAGGGCTTCTCACCACTGGGGAGCAGGGTCTAGCTGCCATGGCTTCTCAACCCCTCCACCTGCTTCCCACAGGGAGCCAGGCAGCTCACCCAGCCATGAAATTGACAAGATTGCCTGACTCCCAGCTGGGAGTAGTGTCTGAAGCCCCCCAGGTTTTTCACGCTAGGGTCCAGCTCCCTAGGGGAGCAGGGGCTTTCTTGTCAATTTCACAGCTCCTGCTGTGAAATTGACAAAGCCAATGTAAAGGAGACAGTGACTAAAGATACTGCCTTGCCCCAACTACACCAACATAAGCCTTACACCACTTGTGGAGGTGGAGTTAGTATGTCAGTGTAGTAGGGCACTTACATTCGTGGGAGGAAGGCTGTAGTATAGACACTGACATAATTAGGTCAACATAAGCCAAGTATCAGAGTAGCAGCCGTGTTAGTCTGTATGTATGCTCATCAACCACAGTAGTACCATTATTGTAGGTTGGCTTCAAGCTGCTTAGAGCAGGAGATGCTGAACAAAACCTAAATTAAAAGCAGAATGGGATCATCACAAAGGGCTGGTCTACACTACACAGTTAGGTTGACTGATGCACCTGATTCGGTGGCTAGAAGAATGGCGTTAGCCATATCCATAAGGTGGGCATTGGGGCTGCTGTCCTCTGGCCTGGCCGCACTGATCCAGCAGTCCATCCAGGGCCTCCCCTTCAAAGGCACCGCCCTATTTTCAGATCAAACTGACAGTAGCCTGCATGGACTAAAAGATTCTAGGGCCACTCTGCGCTCTCTGGGCCTTTATACCCCTGCAGCCTCAAGGAAGTGCTTCAGGCCTCAACAACCTCAAAGATTCAGGGGCCAACCCAGGGCCGAGTCCTATAGACCCTGGAGGTGCTTCAAGCCCCTGCCATTCCTTCAATACCCAGTCGCTTCGACCCAATCAGGCTCTAGCCATCGCTCCCCAGAAAATAAGCAGGCATTTTTAAGGTGTGCCCAAGGGCAACTTCCAAGTCTTCAGCCAAGATCCAACCTATTATTTTCGGACTGTCCATTGCCCTACCTCCCTTCCTGGGACACTATAACATCAGATCAGTGGGTGCTCAGCACTGTAGCAGTGAGATATACCCTCCAACTTATTTTTATCCCTCCTTCCTATCCCCCATCCACATCCCTCTTCAGGGACCCTTCTCACAAGCAACTGTTCATTCAGGAAGTACAAGACCTCCTACAGGAAGGGGGAAAGGTTTTTACACCCGTTACTTCCGCATACTGAAGGCCAAAGGGGGTCTATGACGCATCCTGGACCTCCAAGGCCTCAACAAATATCTCAAGAAGTTGAAGTTCCACATGGTCTCTCTGGCCTCCATCATCCGCTACCTGGATCCTGGAGACTAGTATGCTGCCCTCAACTTAGAGGACGCATATTTCCACATTTGTCTTCTGTGGCCACAGAAGATTCCAAAGGTTTGTGGTCAGTCACTACCTGTTTGCAGTGCTTCTGTTTTTGGCTTAACAGCACCAAGAGTGTTTACAAAATGTATGGCCGTAGTTGCAGCTTACCTCAGGCAACAGGGTATTCAGATCTACCTGTACCTTGACAATTGGCTCATCAAGGGTCACTCAAAGGCACAAGTCCAACATAGCATTGCGGTCATGTAAGCCACCTGCCATGCACTGGGTCTGTTGATAAATGAACAAAAATCAGCGCTGGTCCTGGTACAGAGGATAGAGTTTAGCGGGGCAGTCCTCAACTCTACCCGAGTCAGAGCTTTCCTGAGAGATTCCGAGCAACTTCAGATCTGATTGCCCGAGTCTCCACTCACCACAGCCCAAGTATGCCTCAGACTGCTGGGGCACATCGCAGCATGCACCTATGTAGTTCAGCATGCAAGACTGCATCTCAGACCACACCACTTGGACAAGTTCCTCAAAATCCCACCACAAACTCTTACCTCCCTGGTACAGTAGCTGAAACCGCACTATATAACAAAAGGGGTTCAGTTTGCGGCTCCATGACCTATGGGGTTCCTGGTGTTGGATGCGTCGGACTTGGGGTGGGGAGATCTTATTGCACCTCAGAACCCAGGGCCTGTGGTCCCAAGAGAAGCTGTTGTTACATATAAACATCAGAGAACTCGGGGGCATCTTGCCTGGCTTGTGAAGTGTTCCTTCCCCAGCTATCTGGAAAAGTGGTACAGGTATTGATGGACAACACAGCATCAATGTTTTACATCAACAAACAGGGGAGCACAGTCGCCAGGCCTCTAACAAGAGTCCCTTCACCTGTAGGACTTCTTTACCCAGCATGCTCTCCATCTGGAAGCTGCGCACCTTCCAGCAGTCCAGAATGCGTTAGCAGATCACCTCAGCAAGTCTTTCTCCTCCTGCCACGAGTGGTCCCTCCATCTGGAGGTTGCCCACACCATCTTCCAGAAGTGGGGAAACCCCAGGTGGACCTGTTCACTACCAAACAAAACAAAGTGTCACCGGTTTTGTTCTCTACATGGCTTCGACAAAGGCTTGCTTTCAGATGCCCTTCTCCTGTAATGGGGAAGCTACCTCATGTGTGGCTTTCTGCCAGCCCCCCTCATTCACAAGACACTCCTGAAGTTCAAGAGGGAACAGGCATGAGTCATTGCTCCACCATGGCCCCTTCGCCAGCGTTGTTTCGGCATGCTCATGGACTTAGTGGTGGCAACCCCACAGGCGCTCCTGAACCACCTGGGCCTACTCTTGCAGGACCACGGATAGCTGCTGCACCCGAACCTTGCCTCCCTGCACCTGACAGCATGGATGCTGCATGGCTAAGCCTCAAGGAGTAGGCCTGCTCCACACATAGAATCATAGATGACTAGGGTTGGAAGAGACCTCAGGAGGTCATTAATCCAACCCCCTGCTCAAAGCAGGACCAACCCCAACTAAATCATCCCAGCCAGGGCTTTCTCTAGCTGGGCCTTAAAAACCTCTAAGGATAGAGATTCCACCATCTCCCTAGGTAACCCATTCCAGTGCTTCACCACCCTCACAGTGAAATAGTTTTCCTAATATCCAACCTAGACCTTCCCCCCCACCTGAAACTTGAGACCACTGCTCTTTGTTGTGTCAGCTGCCACCACTGAGAACAGCCTAGCTCCATCCTCTTTGGAACCCCCCCTCAGGTAGTTGAAGGATGCTATCAAATCCCCCGTCACTCTTCTCTTCTGCAGACTAAATAAACCCAGTTCCCTCAGCCTCTCCTCATAAGTCATGTGTTCCACCCCTCTAATAATTGTTGTTCCCCTCCATTGGACTCTCCAATTTGTCCACATCCTTTCTGTAGTGGGGGGCCCAAAACTGGATGCAATACTCCAGATGTGGCCTCACCAGTGCCAAATAGAGGGGAATAATCACTTGCCTCCATCTGCTGGCAATGCTCCTATTTAATGCAGCCCAATATGATGTTAGCCTTCTTGGCAACAAGGGCACACTGTTGACTCATATCCAGCTTCTTGTCCACTAATCCCCAGGTCCTTTTCTGCAGAACTGCTGCTTAGCCAGTTGGTTCCCAGCCTGTAGCAGTGCATGGGATTCTTCTGTCCTAAGTGCAGGACTCTGCACTTGTCCTTGTTGAAGCTCATCAGATTTCTTTTGGCCCAATCCTCCAATTTATCTAGGTCACTCTGGACCCTATCCCTACCCTCCAGCGTATCTACTTCTCCACCCAGCTTGGTGTCATCCGCAAACTTGCTGAGGGTGCAATCCATCCCATCATCCAGGTCATTAATTAAGATGTTGAATAAAACTGGCCCCAGGACCAACCCCTGGGTCACTCCGCTTGATACCGGCTGCCAACTAGACATCAAGCTGTTAATCACTACCCATTGAGACCGACTATCTAGCCAGCTTTCTATCCACCTTATAGTCCATGCATCCAATCCATACTTTTGTAACTTGCTGGCAAGAATACTGTGGGAGACTGTATCAAAAGCTTTGCTAAAGTCAAGTCTTTAAGGTGCCACCAGACTCCTTTGTGGCTAAAGTCAAGGTATATCACATCCACTGTTTTCCCCATATCTACAGAGCCAGTTATCTAATCATAGAAGGGCTATCAGGTTGGTCAGGCATGACTTCCCCTTGGTGAATCCATGCTGACTGTTCCTGATCATCTTCCTCTCCTCCAAGTGCTTCCAAAATGGATTCCTTGAGGATATGCTCCATGATTTTTCCAGGGACTGAAGTGAGGGTCTATAGTTCCCCAGATTCTCCTTCTTCCTTTTTTAAAGATGGGCACTATATTTGCTGTTTTCCAATCATCCACACAGATTAGAGGGAGGGATAGCTCAGTGGTTTGAGCGTTGGCCTGTTAAACCCAGGGTTGTGAGTTCAATCCTTGAGGGGGCCATTTAGGGATTTGGGGCAAAAATTGGGGATTGGTCCTGCTTTGAGCAGGGTGTTGGACTAGATGACCTCCTGAGGTCCCTTCCAACCCTGATATTCTATGATCCAAAAGGTTCTCTTGGAAAGTAGAAAACCCTCCACCAGGGCTACTTACCTGGCTAAGTGGAGGTGCTTTACCTCCTGGGCATCCAAATGGAATCTTTCTCTAGCTCAGTCATTTCTACAATCCATCCTGGAATACCCTCTTTACCTAAAGCACCAATGTCTGGCACACTCCTTGATCAAGGTGCACATGATAGCCATATCAGCTTTCCACCCTCACATCCAGGGCAGATCTGTCTTCTCGCATGCAATGGTGATTGGATTCCTTAAGGGCCTGGCTATAGACTTCCTGCAGATTCACGATCCGGTTCCCCAATGGGACCTCAACCTGCTTCTTTCTAGGCTTTCCCTTCGAGCCCCTGGTGTCCTGCTCTCTCCTGCATCTGTCGTGGAAGGTCACCTTCGTTGTAGCCATCACTTTGGCGAGACGGGTCTCTGAGATTAAGGCTCTAACCTGGGGAACCCACTTATACAGTGTTCTACAAGAACAAGGTCCAGCTGGTGCCCTCACCCAGCCTTCATGCCAAAGGTGGTATCACAGTTCCATGTCAATCAGGATATCTTCCTGTCAGCGTTCCTTCCAAAGCCTCACAATTCCAACGAGGAGAGGTGTCTGTATACTCTGGACATCAGACTGGCTTTCTACCCAGAGCGAACCAAACCCTTCCATAGATCTACTCAACTTTTCATTGCAGTGGCTGAGAGGATGAAGGGACTCCCAGTGTCATCCCAGAGAATTTTGCCCTGGATCACATACCTGCTATTAGCAAGAAAATGCTACACCTCCGCCAATAGTGACAGTTCATTCAACAAGAGCACAGGCGTCATCAGCAGCTTTCCTGGCACGTGTCCAGATCCAGGATATCTGCAGAGCAGCAACATGGTCATCCATTCATACTAGGGATGTAAATATCATTTAAAGTTAACCATTTAAATTAAAAGTGTATCATTTAACTGGTTAACCGATTAAAGGGAGATGGCCTGGGGCTGCTCTGGCCGACCCGGGGTTAATGGTTAAACGGTAAGACTAATGCTTACCATTTAAAATTTTACAACCTTAGTCCATACCTTCGCAAACCACTATGCCATCACTCAGCAGGCCCGAGATGATGATGGCTTTGGCAGAGCAGTGTTACAATCCACACGTCCGTGAACTCCTGCCCACCTTCAGAGGCACTGCTTGTGAGTCACCTGACATGGCATGGACATGAGCAAGCACTCTAAGAAGAAAAATGGCTACCTACCTCTCGTAACTGTTTTTTGAGATGTGTTGCTCATGTCCATTCCATGACTCTGTTGGAGTTCTGGCAAGAAGGAACTGAAGGAGGGGAGCAGCGGCACAGGCTTAGCACCCACCAGCAGTCTCCCTATCAACGCCTCTCCCTCCCCCAGTGCCTCCTCCCTGCCTGCCAGCAGGCCCTGCCAATCAGTTCCTCCCAGTGCCTGCCATCTGCCACAGATCAGCTGTTTTGCGGTGTCTGGAGGCGCTTTGAGGGGGGGAGGGCAGGAGCGAGGGCAGGAAGAGGCAGGGGCGGGGTGGGGCATTGGGGGAAGAGGTGTAGTGGGATCAGGGCCTGGACAGAGCCAAGTGAGAGCACCACCCAGCAGATTAGAAACTCCGCGCCTATGGGCGGTGGCACCCTTTTTACCAGCACGTATGTGTGTGACTTCAGAGGGTGCTCAAGCTGGCCCTACAGATACCACTGGGGGGAAAAACTTCCAGCCCCAGTGCATGTGGTGAGTATACACACTTGAGATGGAATGGACATGAGCAACACATCTCAAAGAACAACAGTTATGACAGGTAGGTGACTGTTTGTTTGTTTTTTTACCATCTAGACAGAACTAAACTGTCCTGTAATATAACCATGTTATTCATACTTCATAGGGATACTACTTAGGGTCAGTCAGTTTCCAACTGGAGACTGTCAAAGTAGATTAGGCTATGCATACTTTCTTGACAGAAATTCCAGTACCAAGAGGTGTTACAGCACATTCCAGTAAGTTTAAGATGGCCTCAAATGCATATCTTTACCAAGTTGGAGGCAGACAGGCTGTGCACAAGCTACAATCAACACTGCTATCCAGAAAGTTCTGTAATGGACATGTTTCCCCTATACTCTGGGCTGGTGGAGGCAATGATCTCCAAGAATGTGAGTTACTAAAATAAATAACAATTCTATCCACAAATATCTTAAATTCCTAAATGAGCACTGTGATGTTCTGTAGCTCGGGGGAACACCCAGCACTCCCATGTTCATTCTTATAATATGATTGTGTAGTATCTAATGCAAAGTTTGTCATGTTGGGTGTCTTCGGAAGTCTCATGATGTACTGAGCATTGTTATAGTAATCTTATAGGCTGTAACCTCATGTATATAATTATGAAGCTGAAAATGTGTCCTCATGGCTTAAAGCAAGCCCAGGCAAAAACTCTTCAGAAGCAGTTCACACCTCATCAGGGCATGTATGGGACAAACTCAGCCCAGCCTCATAGGAATAAAGGACACTGGCTTAGGCAACAACAAAGGATCTGTTGGACTCTCGAGTGAGTCACCCCCTTCCTTTGGTCAGTTTTGGACTGCAGTGAGGTAATGGTCACCTGACTCTAAAGGGTGGGGGCAAAGCCAAGAGGGAAGAAAGGACATGATAAAAGGGAGAGATGTATGTGATGCTCTTCCTCTCTCTTCCACCTCCATCTTCAGCCATCACCACCAAGTGACTGAAGCACTGATCAAAGGCGAGAGCCTGGCTGAAGAGCAGCCAGCCAGCCTCTAGTGAGAAGCATCTAAGTTTGTAAGGGCATTCAAAGTGTTAAGATCAGCTTAGAATGCGTTTTGCTTTTATTTCATTTGACCAAATGTGACTTGTTATGCTTTGTCTTTATAATCACTCAAAATCTATCTTTGCAGTTAATAAAAGTATTTGTTTATTCTACCTGAAGCAGTGCATTTGGTTTAAAGTGTGTCAGACTCCCCTTGGCATAACAAGCCTAGTACATATCAATTTCTTTGTTAAACTGATGAACTCATAAGTTTGCAGCGTCCAGCAGGCATAACTGAACACTGCAAGATGGAGGTTCCTAGGGTTGTGTCTGGGACCGGCGATATTGGCTAGTGTCATTCGGTTGCACAATCCAAGGAGCAGTTTACATGCCAAAGGCTGTGCGTGAACCACCCAGGATTGGGGGTTCTCACAGCACAGCAGGGTAAGGCTGGCTCCCAGAGTCAAGGATTGGAAGGACTGAGCAGATCACCAGTCCAGATAACACCAGAGGGGAACATCACAAGCACAAATATAGAAATCTAAACACACTCATACAGTTTATAGAAAAAAATTTACAGATGGATTTATGTACTGAAAACTTAAAGCATTAAAGTACTTAACATTTAAACACAACAAGCTCTTAGCTATGACCCAGAATCCTCCCAAGTTCTTCAAAAATTTAAATAGCTGAATATGCTCACATCTATAGGATCAGTGCACTGGATGTAAGAATTTCTCAATCAAGTCCTTAAAGTTGAAAAAAAAAAAAGTTTGTTATGCTATCTCAGCCATAATTGCTTTGTTTATAAAAATAGTGAGGGTTTAAGGAGCTCCGTAGTAGTAGGGACTCTTTTCTTGTATAGTTTTTTCTTAAACGGGGAAATTC